GGTGATCGAACATCTGTTAACTGTAAAGCTGTCTCCTCAGCCCCACCCCTTATAACCTCTATATTATCTTTCCACCTTCTTCCCCCACCCCATCTCTTATGGAATTTCTAGAATCCCACCCTTTTAAGTTAACCTATTTTCCAGTGCTTAAGTATTGAACTGTCTTTGGATAATGTGGGCTCAAGCTTTGGTGTCAGAGAAGATTTTTTAAAAACTCATTTCATCTTTTTTTTTTTGTTTGTTTCTGGAAGGAAAGCTTCCCTCTCTGACAAAAACGGAGGTGATTAAAGTCCCTGTCTCATGGCTGTGGTGAGGAGAAGAAACTGTGGCAGGGAGTGAATGCTGATATCCTCTTCCATGTCAGCCTCTTTGACACTGCTGAGTTCTCATAGTGACTGAGGAAGGCTGGTCTAATGCTCATCCCTGCCCAGATCCCTTTCAACATACAGTCTTGGGAAGAAAAGGTTTGAGGTTTAAGTTTGCAAGATTCCTGGTCTCTGTGTTCCCAAAGCTCCAGGCTCAGTCCTCTTATTCTCAAGCTCACACAATATGGAGGGAGTGCACCTATTTATTGCAAGTGATTTGAATAAAAAACAGTTTTGTTGTAACACCAGAAATTCCAACAAAATTTAAGAGTAGTATGAAATGCATTGGGATCTTGTGGAAATTTACACGCTTGGGGTGGTGTAGGGGTCTCAACATTTCTCTCCCTTCAGAAACTTAAGGAATTCCCAATAAAGACTCAGGTAACAGTGATACTCTGTTCTTCCTGCTTCCTCCCATCCCTTCCATTTCTATCCTACTATCTAATTCACTGTTGTCTTACTACAATTTCCACCAAGCATTAACCACCTTTCCATTGCTCTCCTATAATTTCTCTGTCCCTTTGTCCATTTTCACCGCCGTTGATCAGATGCCATCTTTGATCCTCCTTGCGCATGTCAACCACTTAGTTCCTATGCCTTGTGCAGCGCTGAGACGTCTATAGCTTCACTGGTGAATGGAGGACCTGGCTATGCAGGTCTAGGGAAGTTAATTTCCACAACTTTCACTTATTGCTCTTGCTATTGTTTATTATTTAATTTGACACATTTTTTAATTAAAATGAGTGTGGTAGGTAATTAATTATTACCTTGACAGGATCTAGATTTACCTATGAACCACACTCTGGACATGTATGGCAGGAAGTTTCTCTGCTGTGTTAACTGAAGCGAGAAGACACACCCAAAGTGTGGGTGGCACCCTCCCATCGGCAGGGGCCTCAAGCTGACCAAAAAAAGAGAAAGCAAACTGAGTCCTGGCTCTCGTTTCCTGACCGTGGATGCTTGTGACCAGCGGCCTCAGGCTTCTCCTCCTGTGCCTTCCAGCTATAAGTGACTGTACACGCAGACACAATCCCAGATAAGCCTACCCTTCCTTAAGTTTCCTTTGTCAAGGATTTTGCCACAGCAGTCAGAAAATGAACTTATGAGTTCATTTCAATACCTTTCACTAAAATGCAAGTTACCTTTCAGACTTAGTAGACCATTTATAAAAATGGCATCTGTCTTTTAAAATGGAAGTCGGGAGGACTTGGGTGATAGCCCTGCACATGCTCTGCTCCGATTCAGAACTTGCCGTGTCTGTGATATGTAACCATCTTCATAGTGCGCAAGCTTGTCCCAAAGCCCAGGGACAGCAACTTTCTGGCAGAGATGCCCCCACCGCTCTGTATAGAAAGGTTGCTTTTTTCTTCATAGATTTTTTTCTGAGCACATGACCCATGACATTTCTTTATTATCTATCGCAATTTTCTGGCATCTACACTCATTTCCCCCTCTTTCTTCCACTTTCCCTTCTCTGAAAAGTTGAAGAAGATCATTGGATGTGGGAGCTGGTGGCTCGCCTATTGGAGCGATCTGAAAGGTCTTTCCAATCCTTGGGGCTCCAGTAGTACTTAAAAGTCCCAGAAATGCCCAAGAGACTCAGCTTCAGGAGGTATGGGAGCAGGACCTCGGAGGACAAAATGAGGAGGATTTTGGGATGCAGGGAATGGGGCAGTAGTTTGCAGCGTGTTCTACCATGGGCATGGTGATCCTCTCAGAGAGGCTGCAGGGTGGAGAAGGGATTGAGCAGGAAGAATGTTCCTTGATTAGATCTGACCAAATGTAGAAACTAGGCATTTTAGCTAATGGATTATAAAGACATATGAGATAAAACTCAAATGGAGACGGACTGAGCTCACACATCCCAGAATCTCTGACAATTACCCTGGACCTATTTATTGTGGAACATTGTAATGAGATTGTAGGCCTAAGGAAGAAACTTTTCTTTAAATAAAACAGAATCCAAAATAATTTTCCAGAAATCCCTCCAGCAACCATCACTTTAAAAAGTGTGGTCCTCAGGGCGTCTCTGCAACTCACAGTTCAGACTAATATCACAGCAGGGTAGCAGGCCTGTGGCTTAAATCCACACATTCAGGGAGATCTTTCCAGTGGGACTGAGCCTTGCTTTGTGCAGGAAATAATTCATGTCATTTGCTTCCTTTGAACTTAGAGCTGCCCGTGGTGGCCTGCTCTGCTGCTGAGGTGGAAGGGCCACCGGGCTAGCTCACTCCCATCTCACCACACTGTGGGAGGCCAGAGGACAAACACTGGGCAAGCAGTAGGCTAACCTAGTACTTCAGCAGGGTAGGTTCATCACACATTTGGAACACTGAGAAGACACAGTGTTGTCACACTACCAAAAAACCCTTCCCTTGAGGGCTTGAGCCTCTTCTCATTCAGTACAGACTCTGGCAGACCCACATTCCTGGGCCTGTTTAGTTCTCTCTGGTTTTCTGATGTAGCCCCTAGTACTCCAGGATACAGTGTACACAGTGCTGAAATCACTCCCCTCATCTCTCTCTCTCTCTCTGTCTCTGTCTCTTTGTCTCTGTCTCTCTCTCTCTCTCTCTCTCTCTCTGTCTCTCTGTGTGTGTACAAATGCACACATATTGGGGCAGTAGTCTGTGGAGGCCAGTGTTTGACATCAGGTGCCACTCTCAATCATGTCTCTGACTTTTGTTGTGAGCTGGGGTCTCTTACAGTACCAGGAGATCACCAGTTCACCAGGCTCAATGTCCTTAGGTCCCACGGTTCCACCTACTTTTGCTAGCCCCGTTCTGGGATTACAGGCATACACGCTAAGCCTGGACTCTTATGTTGGTGCTGGGACTCTAAACTAGGTATCTCTTGTTTGCGTGGCAATCACGTAACTGACTGAATCATCTCCCCATTCCTGCTTCCTGTTCTTGGGGCAGCCTTGCCCCTGGCTAACACTGTCTTCTGGTTGCACAAGAATATATAAGGCCAGGAAGAGATAATCCACTTTAAACACGTATGGGAGAGCACAGTTAATGACCTATTATAGCTTTTACATATGAGAAAATGAGGCACAGAGAGGGGGTACCCAATAACTGACAACCAAATTATAATGATTTTATTTTTAACTGGGGATATCCATACTCCTTTTTTCTTGAACAGATATTAACAGAAATAGTTTTCTTCCTAGTGGACTTGATCTCTTATGAACATCCTTCCACCTCTCAAGTTTAAGGACATAATAATAAAGTTCTAAACTCAGCGATGCTGTGCCCACTTACATAATCCTCTCCAGGCTACCTAAGGGCTGCGGCTATAGACCGACTTTCAGATTCATTTTATTCCTGAGGGTGGGACCAGGCTCTCCCACCTCACATTTGAAATGCATGAACTGAAGGTCTGGGGAATAGGGCATAGTAGGGGCAGCTTCAGTTTTGTACTTGAGAGGAGTTAATTGTTTGGGGGATAAATGAAAAACATGTGCATTTGCACTCATCTAGCGAGACGCCAATACTGCAGTAATCTGGAGGTGACAGTGAGCGTCTTACATACAGTCAGATCTAAACTAAGTCCGTCACTGGTGGAGATTCATACCTTGCTGCCAGACTGTAGCAATGTGAAATTCAGAAGGAATAAAAGAAAATAAACAGTGTCTCTCATTTTCTAACAAATAGCATTAGTTTGCACAGAAATATGGTTTGATATTTTTTTTTCTTATCTAGTATGTGAAAAACAAGTATGCTTCTGGAAACTTAGTTGATGTTATTAATGGTACATCTGTGTGCTAGTGTGTGCGTGTGTGCTCGTGTGTGTGCTCGTGTGTGTGCGTGTGTGTGTGTGTGTGTGTGTGTGTGTGAGAGAGAGAGAGAGAGAGAGAGAAAGAGAGAGAGAGAGAGAGATTTAGAAAACGGACTCTTCTGCAGCCCACTTAGCTCAAACTCTGTTCCAAGGTCCTCTCATCACACCAGTGCGGCACTGGGATCTAGACCAGGGTAGGGAAGGTTCAGTGCGGTTCTGAAGATGAGACATATCTTTCTAAAGAGGAGTATCATGAAATGCGACCAATGAGCAAACAGCTCCACCCAAGAGAACTGTTCGGAGAGGGGAGAGGATGAGGGTTGCAGAGGAGAGGGCTGACCCTTCAGGCCCACACATTGCCATGGCAGGGGTTTAGTGCTGTGCTTGGAGAAAAGAGAGAAATGCAATATTCCTAGCGCTGTGTCGATAAATAATTACACTTATAAGGAAAGCATGGAAAACTACCAACCATGAAAATCCCTTCCAGTTCGCAGCAGCTGGTAGCTACAGCTGTTGTTCTGAATATCAAACTGAAAACACAGAGAGCATATTGAGAACGGTAGAGAGCATGTCGCTGTGGGCGGAGCTTTTAATTTGGCAAGAGAGAAAAACCACCTTTTCTAATAGATGCAGTCATGTTTATCTGTTCCAAAGTTGATCAAGTCCAAGTCATTAATTCCCCTCAAAGAGCAAGTCGCGTGTCTTTTGAGCTCATGATCACCTTGAAAGACACACTACGGTGGGAACTCCTTGTTGACCAGGAAGGGGTAATCTGTCCCCACTGAGTTCAGAGCAAACTTGTATAAAGAATGACTCCCAGAGGTAAGGAGGACGACATGCACGTTAATGAATACTTACATAAATGTCTGCACCATAAAATCCATCCTGGTAAACAACACTGTAAAGATGCACACACAAAGAGAAACATTCGGATTAGTGCAGTTCCCCATGCAGACGCACCAACCCCCGCACGGGCCAGGTTAGTCTGCTCTCATGATCTGAAACACAGGAACGGAGGAGAGTGGCAAACTGATTAAGGAGGTTGGAGACAACAGCTGTCCATCAAATCGGGAACTTTAGGCTGCGGTTCCATGTAGGACCAGGGTCACAGTGCTTTTGCTTGGGCACCAAAATGAACTTCCCACTCTCAGAAGAAGGTGCAATGCATGGCTTAAAAAGGCAAAAGGACTGGTGTGCATTTCCCAGTGACCTACACAGGCCTGAGAGTCTTAACAATATTAAAGTTTGCAATCAAACCCCAGTGCCCAACCCCAACAAACACGAAATCCAGCATCTGTTTAAGAATGGGCTTGCAAGGGCAGGGACTCAGAGCAGAACACTTTGATGATGCACTAGAACTGAATGGCCTCAGGGAGCGCCCAGGTGGCTCAGATGGGGTCAGATATTTTCTTCTGTCAACATTACATACAGTAGCATTACCTGTGGTAGTTCTGTCAGACTTTAATTGTCAGTATAACAGAAAACCTGTCTGTGTATCTGTGTGTAAACATATGCAGATATGCATGTGTGCAAAATATGTATGTTTTCAGATGCACAAATGTATGGGAGTGCATATATGTGTTTGTATGCATCAAGGCCTTATATATTTGTGAGTGAGGGGGGGTTCGGTTGTGTATGTGTAAGTATTTAAATAAATCATATTCAGGCTAAGGCAAGATTCGGCTTTATAACTAAATAAACCTAACTACATGGAAGCTTTGCATAGTGCACCCAGTCCCTGGACTTGGAATCCCAGGAAGAAGCCACTTCCAGGGGGCAAAGAATGATCTTGGGCTTCTCTGAGTTCCTTGGAATAGCAAGGCAAAGAAACTCATAATAACACATTCTCTGACTTAAGTATTTGAGTGGGTCTACCAAGGCCATATGTACGCTGGACACCTCGCAGGCTTTTGTGAGAACAGCAGATACCCTAGGTACAAAAGGCTGAGTTTCTAAACTTTTGCTTTCAGAGGGTGGTAGTCATCAGTAACCTCCCCTAGCATCTCCCCATGACATTTCTGGGTGATTTATGAGGCGGAGAATCAGCGAATCCACTGTTGAGTCAAGCCAGGGCCCTAATAGAAGCACAACTTTGATTCGAAAGGATTTCATGAGAAGTATGAGCACGCAGAAAAGCCAGGCAATTCAAGGCAGGGGAGAGAGCACTTCATCACCTAACGGCACACGCTCACGCACACACAGCAGTGACACTGGCTTGCTGGAGAACACGGAAGCACACTTCTTTCCCAGAGCTCTTTCGGAACTGATTGGCAAACCCCCAAGGACCATTATCCTTAAAGTGTGGCAGGGATGTCACACACTAAGGAGGTTGGTGGGAATGCCTTTCAGCTGTTGTTTGTGTTTGATCCTGGTGGGCTACAGTACATTGGAGCACTTGTCAAGCAGTGCTAAGCCCTAATCCAAAAGGCAGGCTGAGGTGTGTAGGGTCTTGAGCAGGCTTTGAATCTGTGTTCAGCATTAACAACGTAAAAAGACACTGTCTGTTGTGGGGTCAGGAGGCAAGGTCAGCTCCTACCAACGGGCTTTAGAACAGATCTGATGAAAAGCAGGCAAGCAACAGATAGTTACTCGGGGCCCCAGAGCACAGACTTGAGCCTTAGCTTCATCAAGACCACGTCTGTGCCAGGTTTTCATGCCATCATGCCTTTATTCATGCTACCACTTGGTTGCCAGCGTCTTTTCTACCAGTATCCTCATTCAAAATCAGCTAGATCACCACTGAAGAGGCAGGCAAGGTGCAGAAACACAGACATCTATATCAAAGTGCTGCTTCCCCGGCAAATGGCTCTGCAACCGGAACAAAGTTGCTAAGACAGCTGAGCTGGGTTCACTCTTTGCAAAATGGGAAAAGTGGTAGCCAAGGGGCTACCTCAAGGCACACACGTGCAAAGAGGTATAGGATTTAGCCAGGTGATGCTTTCGAAGTGATGCTCAGCATGTTTAACACTGAGGCAATAAGTTCTCTAAATGAGACCCAGGCTACCTAAAGCTGAGTTCCATGTCCTCCCTGTGAGTACCAGAGTCCATGTGTCAGACTCTCTATCTAGGCCGCTCATTAGTTTCCTCCCACTGTAAAAGGCATTTGTGCCTATGATTTGTTTGGACATCAAGGCTGCCCTCGTAGGAGTTCCACCTATTGCATCTCATCTAAGGTTTAATTTCTTATTTCAGGCCCAGAAGACATACAATAACTATGTATCCAGAGGATGATGTCCACACCCTAGAGAGGAGCAGAAGACAGAGAGTCTTTTCTGTGTCAGCTCCAGGTAGAAGTTAATCATTGGTCAGAGAATGATGTCTCCACTTGGGGCTTAGAGTCAGGGGTGTCGTTAATTCGAAGATAGCACAAGCCTCTTGGTGAGACACTACCTTCTTATTTTATAATTATTACTGTTGTTGTTGGGGGCCTGAGGTTTGAAGCTTGTGTTGTTTGTGTATTCAGCTGTTAACGGTTGTTGACGTTAGAGGAAAAGAAAAGACATAAGATTAAACAATCCTGGATCCTACCAGGACAGAAAACTAGAGGGGTGTGGATAAATATTAATTATTTAAAAAAATATTAATCATGTAAATACGGGAAGCCTTGCATTTTCCCAAATGCCTAAGGGATGGGCAAGGTCTGCTTTATTTTGTGGAAAATAGAGAGAAAAGCCAAACCTAGGCCTAGGAGGCTCAGGGGCACACAGCCTAGAGCAGGGGTGGAGTCCCATGTCATGTGACTGAGACTTGGGTCTTACTCTGCCAAGGAGATGAGGAAGAGCTGAGCTGCAGTTGCTCCTTCCTCCAGAAACTGCTTGTGCATAGGGGTCATTGCCATGCCAGTCTCCCCATCACTCTGTGTTAAGAGCTCCCAGACACCAAGAAAGAGCACACTGTGCTATTTGCCTTCTGGAGCCTTTCCTCTGAAAAATAGCCCAGCTGCTGTGGTTTGCCCTCCACCATGGGCGATGGAAAGATACTGAATCCTCTGATACCCCAAATTTCTGAGATGTGGAGTTGAAGGGAGACTGAGGGCAAGCTTCCTCATTCTGACAAGAGCAAACAAATGGAATGCAAGTATTGTCTTCCTGCACTGCAAGGTTTCCTCTCCCCAAGCACTGTGCTGGGCCATCGCAGGTGAATCTCTCCCACCACTGCTCTCTAGAGGTCTAGAGTCCCCAGAGGGGAAAGTGCAGCCACAGCCATGCATCAAGCTGCAGTCGCAGCTGCAGCCTTTGCTACAGAATGTTAAGATGGGGGCACCATGAAAGAGCAAACAATAGGAAAGACGCAGGACCAGGGGAACCTGGAAGGACTTGCAGGCAGGCAAAAAGAATGGCAAGTGTGAGGACCCACGGTTAGAGGTGTCTGGATCTTTGGAGGGCCTGGAGGAAGGGCACAGTTAGTGGCTTTGGGTCCCAAATGCTCTTTAGAAAGTGGTGGCTTCTGAGCAAAGGATTTCATCTGTTACCAAGCACAATGAGAAAGATTGCTCACTTGTGCCAAGTATATTTTGGAGGCACAAGGGAAACAGTGAGTGATATAACCTTCATGATGTTAATAACCCCGGGAATCTATGAGATGATATAGCCATCCTCATTTTACTGGTAGAGTAAAATAAACCTCCAGGAATGGGCTGTCAGTTTTACAAAACTGCTATTTCCCCTAAGTTATTAGTCATAGCACAAGTATCATTCCTGAGATGACTCAGGTTCGCAGGGTGACTGCTCTAAGATGGGCCCATCAAAGCACCCTGTGATCCTTACCATCCTCCCCCACTCACACAATGGACAAGGCCCCCGTTCCCTCCCTAGACATGAATAAATTGACTTAACTAATAAATATTCTAGCCCAAGTATTTTTGTTACATAGCCAAACTCTTAATGACATGGCAGGCAGTGGTGGTTGGACTTCAATGTGCCTAAAGTTCACCTGGGGGACTAACTGAAATATTGATGGCTGGGCCCTATACCCAGCCCAGAGCTATTGATTCAATAGATCTGGATAGAGTGGGTAGCTAAAGGATTTGTATTTCTTTCAGGTAATGGGCAATGTCACTGCTGGTAGTTCAAGCCTTAATTCACTATGCAGTCAAATACAATCTTGAACTTCTGGTCTACCCGCTTCAGCTCCCCCAGTGATTTGAAAACAGGTGTGAACCACTATGCCAGGCCTTGCAGTGCTAAGGATCAAGTCCAGGGCTATATGCATGTTAGGCGAGCATTCTGCAAATGGGGTGTCATGGCAGCTGCTAAGGTGCTGCTCTTGAGGCATGGTGAGTGTGGGAGAGCCCTTGCAGAGCTGAATGGTCCTTTCCGGGAATGGCTCCCAGTGCTTTTCTAATGCCTCAGCCAACAGATACATATGTGGGAAAAGAAGATGGAGCTTCGTGTGGCGGATGCAGCTATAGATACACAACGGTTCCCACACTGCAGAAGGGAATTGCTGTCATGCACGGAGCAGATGCGGTCCTATTTTAACGCAGAAATGGTCTGTCTAGTCATGCAAAGGTAATTGTGTTGCCTGTCAATCACTCTAGGCCTGCAATATGCTTTTGCACGAGCATGATGCAAATGCACAACTCATTTTCTTAAGGAAGTAATCATGGTAGTTAAATATTTGGATAGAGGCAAGCAGAGAACGATTGCACTATAGCAAATTAGCTTGCTTTAGAAAAAGAAAAAAAGGAGGATGGACAAGAAGGAACAAAGGCAGAGGGTGCCCCAAACTAAGCAATCTGTTTGTGGAACGGTATATATACCAACCACAAATGTGTTTTTGTAGGAAAGACATTTAAAACCTCTTTTCTCAACTGACCCTTTTGCCTGGAAAATAAATTACATTTTTGAATATGTTCAAATGTAACTGTCTAGAATGGTTATCAGGTGGCTCCATGCA